GGTGTCATTCTTAATGTAAAGCATTACCATAATTTCTACTTGAACATATAATTCCTTAAAAATTCTTAAAATTTGAAGACATAATGCACATCCACAAAATATGATATAATACACTTTTCAGGCAGTGATAAGTCAATCACAAAACAAAATCAAAATGGGGACTCCATCAAAAACAGGGATTGAGTGCACAAGGAATCTTACATCTTTACATATCGCCTGCTTACCTATAATGAACTCGAAATTGGCAGAGAATCCTCTTTTGGCGTAGGCCCCGTGGGTATCGAGGGTAAGCACCATGCGTGAATCCTTACTGTGGAGGTTTGGAGGAAACAGCGTACCACAAAACTTTTCTGACCCGTTGTTATCCTTGTGACCCTCTACAAGCAGGTGGCCTCTAGTACAGCTCCAAAAAAATCAAACAACAAAACTTGATGAGCGCCTCTAGTCTACCTAGAGATTTAAACATGTAGTTTCAAGTTAAACTGTCAGATAGCATGGATATCTGGTCGTATAAACTTGATAACTGGTCCTCCAAGGTGAACCAGACAATGTATGGGTTGTTAGTTTATCAGTATATATTTGACATTGCCACTATGTAACCTACCACAAATGGCATTCATATAGGCTACAAATGCCTATGAATTTTGACGTAATCGTTATATGACGTCATAATATGCTGGATAGCACTGACCCTCCCTTGGAGATGGTTGTTCTATTTATTTTCAACAAGCATATACAATAAATATATTATTTGAAATAAATGCTGAATAACAATAAATGAAATTAAATTTTTCTTTGAGATGAAAGATTCCAAAAATGGCAAAAATAAACATTGAAATGCCTTCAATTGGCATTCATAGGCAACATGAATGTCAATTGGAACAAGGCAAATCCAACAGGAAGTGTTAGCGCACTTTCATTGAATTTTTCTTTGTTCAGTTGGCATTCATATTGCCTATGAATGCCCATTGAAAGCAGTTAAATGCTAAAAGAAACTTACAATGTCATACGACTGGGGGGGGGCATAAACAAGAAGAGCTAGCTACAATTCATCAGAATAGAGACTTACGAGGTCATAACTCCAGAGTTCATGGACCCAGAGAGTTCAAAGTCTGTGAATGCCACCATGACCTTCTCCGAGTTGTACTGATTACTGATGCCGTCTAGGTAGTAGCGACAAGTGACGTTGATAGGATAATCACGAGGATAGCCTGGTGATCTCACAGTGCCGTTTGATCCCTTCTTACTCATGATCTTTACATCACACTCTGGAAACACAAATTAGACTTGAAACTTATTTTTAAATAAAGCAATTTGCAGAATTTATATTGGTAAACAGGGAGTGTGTTTATCTCAGGAATGAGCTTTATATTATAGACGATATCACAGCTAGAACATCAACACACATACTTTCAGCAGGGTCACAAACTATACTGAAACTATACTAGGATTCACACCATCTACCATCATATGCCATTTAACATCATGTTTACAGCCTTCAATTTTCCAATTCTCATGATCATGTACCAGTATTGATGAATATTTTCTGGCAGAGAGCGGTCTGACCGAGCGGACACCCGAGGAGCCAC